GAGCAGCAGCCTTCATGAACTCGGTGTTGACTCTCTGGATGTAGATGCTGCTGAGGGAGTCTTCATCGTCTCCATAACTCACAGTATGTACATGTGGCAAGGTTGACTCATTGCTGAGAAGCAGGAGCCACTGCAAGAAGGGCTCCTGTGCCTCATGCCGGCCTGGATTGTTTTAAAAGAAGGGATACCAATGGTCATCAAAGAGTTGCTAGACTCTCCTTGAATCCCCTTGATAAAATGAAGCAGAGATCAACAGCCTACACCAACCCATTCCCCCCACCCCAACTAATTCTGTTAGTAATACCAGGGCTACTGTAGACCCAAGTGGAGATGTTGGCACCAGCACTCATCAGGTATTCCACGTCTAGACTGGCCTCGATCCCAGCTCGGCCTCGTCCCTGTTTTCCAACCACTCTGGCTACTGATGCCTGGTGTGCAAAATCGCCACCAAACAGGCGCATGAACTCAGTCAAATCTGAGTCATGGAAATACTGTTCCAGGAACTGTGGAAACAGTTAAATCAGGGGTCATGGATCAGAGAGTGGGCCCCAGGGTAGTAAGGCACTAAAGATATCTTGAGGAGGTTGTGAGGACCCCAGGGCTTTACATGGCTCACCTGGGCACAGGCCTGGCTATTATTGGTGGTGCCAGAGCCCACATCTTGTGCTGTCAGGTTGTATCGCCGACGGAGCACAGATGGAGTCACTCCCAGGTGAAGGCCAACAGTTTTTCCCCCCTGTGGCTCTGGCCGTTGTCTCAGAGATGATGTAGGAGGAAAACGGTGCAGTCCCCCTACTGTGGAAAGCAGTCAGGCTTAAGGAAGGTTTACAGATACTACCACTTACTCTACTACTGGCAACACCCTATGCCTCTTTGGCATCTAAACTTCAGCCTCTAGATCTGCCTTCCCCAACCTCCACCAACCCCATTGGGTTTACCAAAGTCCACATGAGGGGCCAAGGCCTGGGGGAGCTGGTAGGGATGTGGGGACCTTACAACATGGGTCTCTGTAGGTCCCCCCACATAGCGATGAAACTCAGCCCCAGGGAGCAGCAGCTCAGCCTGCCTGGAAGTCAGAAAATAGGAAGCATGGAGGGGAGCAGAAGTGGCCTGAGCCCCACTTACCAGCCAGTCATCTCCTCAGACATTAGCTATACCCACAGGCTCTCCACAAGCTTTCAACTTCCTCCTTTGGGGGCATTTTGTCTCTTTGGTGGGACAAATAACTCCATGGGGCAATCATTACTTCTCACCAGACACTCAGCCGGCAAGTCAGAAAGTCCTGTGTAGTCACTGAATGACAGTTCCGGGCTCCAGCTGCCAAAAGCCATTTTTGGACGGTGTGCAGGGTCAGTGGTGATGGTTGGACCAACTCAGATACATCTTCTAGGGTTAGGTACTTTCCTGCAGGGATTCAGAAGAGGATCTTGTCTTGATTAGTGGCTCTCTTGGGTTGCTTGTTTGGACCTCAGTCAGTAGACATCAAGACTTCCCAAGGAGGACTGTGCAGGTGATAGGTATATTGGAAGTCTAAGGGGAGAGAAGGCTGGAGAGACGTGGAATGTCACGGCCAGGAAATATGCACAGCATGCACTACCACAGTCACAAAAATTCAAGGAGGCTAATAAACTTTAAATGTCCCACTTTAAGCTTATCTTCAAAGAATTTTTTCCAAACTTTTGGAGCCAATTATACAGAACCATCTAATTTAGCTCAGATCTTCATACTTGTTGATTTTAAACAACATAATGTTAGTCATTCTTTCCTGCATGCAAGGAGCTACTTGGTTGACCTGAGGATGCCCCTCCCTCATCTCCATTCTTCCATTCTACACACACACACACACACACACACACACACACACACACACACACACACACCCTCACAATGCCGGACTTTAAGCAGGGGAAGGATCCAATCCAGCCTGACCATCAGAAAGAATGCTCTGGAATAGTGTGGGAAGTGCTCTAGGGAGTGGGGTAAAGGAGAGGAAACTGCAAACCAGTCAGGGTGCTGGGCAGGAGTCCAGGAGAGAGAATAAACCGAGCTGGTGGTAAGAGGGATGGCCAGGGTGGATTAATCCAAAGACAATTTAGGAGTTGAACTAGCAACTTCAGTATTGGAACAGAGGAAGCAGGAGTAGATACAACATTAGGGGAAGGATATGATTTGATAATCACTTATACATACTAAGTGCTATTTCTCCATTTGGTAGCTAGTAAGTAGAAGTCAAAATTTTAATCTAGATCTGATTATAAAACGTGTTCTTAAACACATCTACCCCACCCCTACACTCATCTCACTGGAAGTTGAACCTAGGGTTTTGCACATGCTAGATGAGTACCCTACAGATGAGCTACCTAAGCACCCCCCCCCAAAAAAAAAAAGAAACACACACACACAAAAGCACATGCTAGATGAGTACCCTACAGATGAGCTACCTAAGCACCCCCCCCAAAAAAAAAGAAACACACACACACAAATATCTTGACAGTCTTGCTACATAGTTAAGGCCCAGGCAGGCCTTAGATTCAAAATCTTCCTGATTTAGCCTGAGTAGCTAGGATTACTACATCAAGCCACTAGGCCTAGGTTTGTTAATTACTTTTAAGACTGAAGAACTCAAGTGGAAGATTTGGGGTGTGTGTGTATGTGAATGTGGCAGTTACTGCCGTTTGTCTGTCATACCAGAAACATGACCCTACATGATCTGCACCAGCCAGTGCCTGCCTGTTCCTGCCTCCCACTTCCTGCCCCCACTTCTGATAGGCACCATATCGAGGAGAGCTGGGATCCGACACCGCCTGCACCAGCTCCGTGAGTCTTTCCAGGTTCTGCTGTTTCAGGGCAAAAGTGAGACTCAGCTCTTCTTCAGGGTCCACTCGGCCCAGAGACACCCAGCCTGGGGGCAGCCTGCGGGGTCAGGGATATGACTTGGTTAGCTCATAGATGGGAATTCCATCCAGATCATGGAGAGTTTGGAATTAAGAACTGAGACTTTGGGTGGGATCCCAGATGCAGATAAGTTTCAGAGGAGGTCAAGGCGAGAGATTAAACCTAAGGGGTGGCAGATAAGGCTGGAAAGTGGGCAGTAGGAGCAGTATAAGGGTGAGGGAAGCTAGGACCAAGTCAGTGGCTGCAGAGAAGTGTACCGGGAAGGCACAGGCAGTACTAAATCAACTCACATCCACCGCTGGTCCGGCTCAGGGCTATACGTGCATTGGCCATTGATGACGAGAGCAAGGAGCCCTAGGAGGCTGCAGGGACAGCACGTGGGTTTCATCAGGAGCTGAACCACCTCTGTATTCCCTCTACATGTAACCCCTCTAAAGTAAACCCCTTTAGCTACCCTTCCCACCTCAATTTCTCACCAGGCTTGGCGTCCCATTTTGGATTTCGGCTGATCTGAAGTCATGTGACAAGTCACATGAGCACTATCTGCCACCTCCTCGATCTCCCTGCCTAGTAACTAGTGACGCAGCTGACTCCTCCCTCCCAAATGAGCTGTTTTGAATGCTGTGGCTGTTACCAGAATTCCTCCTCTGCTGTATTGAGCATCTGAGCCTAGGGCTCCTCACCTGCTACCCAAGTCTGTCTCTCCAGAAATCACAAAGGAGTGAGCTGTGACAGTCCATAGGTGTGGGCTACTCCTGGCTGTGCAATATTAGAAAACTAAGCACTCAGAGCTTAGGTTTCTTAATTTAAAATTCAGTGACTGTTGTTACATAAAAGCAATCTACCTCTTACTTGAGAGTGAAAATGTATACTGAGATAAAGCAAGCAAACCACATAGCTGAGTTTGACCTAGCAAACTAGCAAAGACTCAACAAGGTGAGCTCTTATTAATGTGGACATTTCATGGTTCCAAGGTGTATATGCATGGGCAGGGTTGAGGACCTCTTTACTTACCTGCTCTTGTAACCACCCCCACATTTTCTAGACCCTCAGGCTTAGAACCCTCAAGTTCTCTCTATTCAGCCAGTGTCTCCTGGAGACTACTACATCTTAGTTCCTGCCCATGTTAGAGGGAAAAAACTTCAGAGACCAAGGCTAGGCTCCTGAGCTCCCAGTGCCAGCCCTTCTCCAGATGTCCTGGTGCATTCCATCCCTCTGTATGTATCCCAGGTATCCACAGTACTATTCCAGGTGACTTCTGGTTACCCTGACAGAACAGAGCCGGAGGCTGGATACAAACTGCAGTTTATTAAGGCTCCAGAGTGAGAATTGGCACTTGTTCTGGGCAGGGGCAGGGGTGTCAAAGGAACCCAAAGAAATTGGGTCCTAACAGGTTGGAGGGACTTCCCCCATCCCCCTACCCCCCAATAAATAAAGTCTCAGCTCCATTGCAGGGTGCTGGTGCAGGACAGAAAGGATTGGCTGAAGAGAAACCAAGGCTGTTGCCTCATTCTTATTTCTCCTCACACTGGATCTGGACACAGGTCAGTGACCAACAGACCCTCTGTGGTCCTAGTGCTGAGGAGACTGGGGTAAAATGTGGGACCTGTCCCAACTATAAGAGTTTGGGGTGGAGATTTGGGGACTGGTGGTGGCCTCCCCATGGCCAGTCATGATCTGAGGCTGCCCAGGGCAGGCTGAGAACGGGGCCTGCTTTGGGGACACTGTACGTATCCCAGGTCGGGGCCCAGTTAGGGCCACAGCTAGATGCGCAGCTCTGTGTCATCAGGCGGCTCCAGGCCAGACTCTGTGCTGAGTGCTGAAGCTGAGGGGCCCTGGGCTACCCCGAATGGTGAGACAACAGGGGAACGAGCAGCCAAAGGAGACAGTGAGGGTGAGAAGCTGGGAGACATGGCAGCAGAGGACAGGGAACCTTCATGGCTGATGGGAGAGCGGTGAGAGGCTGGTGGGAAGATGGCCCGGGCTGCAGCTGTGCTTGCAGGTTTTGGGGGAACAGACTTGGCTCCTGGATGGGCCACAGCAGTGATGAGGGGTGGCGGGTCAATACGGGGAGCAGGAGGACATGGCCGAGCTTCATCCTTGAGCCGAGCTATCTCTGTGAAGACACTGGCCAAAGGTTGGAATTGAGGGCACCAGCTCAACAGGTAGTCCCAGTTATAGCTGCCACGGAGCTCTTCCTCACCAGCCACGATGGCTGTCAGAGCACCAGCTACACATGGCTTTCCATCTGCTGGGAAGCCATAGTCCCCAGTGGGTGCAGGGCTCAGGCCACAGCCCCCCAGGAAGGCTGTAGCAGTGGATGGAGGCCCCTCCTCTCGGTACAGAGTGGCTCCTGAACCCGGCAGCAGCAACCCTGCCTTTCGGCCCTTATACCAGGTGTCAGGGGCAGGAGGCTCACAGGATGTGTCACTCAGTCCATCTGCATCCTGCTGGATGCCTGAGTCAGGGCCTCGGGCTGCCAGGGAGGAGGCAACACTGGCCACACGGGGAAACTCATTGATCATGCGGATCTCGTCATCCTCTGCAGCCTCTGCTGAGCCTCGGCCACTTGAATGTGAAGGGTCCAAGGAGCCCCCACGAGGGTAGGGTCCTCCAGCTCCTGGCCCACCATAGCTGGGGAGAGTCTGATGATACAGGTGTTCAGAGGGTGGTGGACTCGGGGGTTCCCGGCCCAGTTTCTGTAAAGAGCTACTGGCTATGGGTGCTGCTTGTGACATCGGGCCAGGGGCTGCCTCAGCCTTGCGGTTCCGTGCCCGAACAAGGCCCAGGACCAGAGCTGCCAGAGCAAGTACTACCACAACTCCCAAAGAGGCTGCCACAGCCCCTACCAATAGCAAGTTGAGGTCAGGTGCCAGGCCCAGAGCAGTGTGGGTAATATCCACAGTCACAGGCACTGTGGCACTCCGGGACCCAGGCAGAGGCCCTCTTGCTACTACCTCCAGCCTTAACTCCCGAGGTGCTTCGCGTCGGGTCCGGCCCCCACCCCCAGAGGTGGTTGTTCCACTTCCTGGTGCCCGACTGTCCACTCGTAGGTACAGAGCACCTGTCGTCTGGTTGATACCAAAATAGGGGGAAGAGGTAGCCAGCGAATAGAGCACCAAGCCATCAGCACCCCCATCCTCATCTGTGGCCTGCACATGACCCAGGCTGTGGCCACGCTGGGCACCTTCTGGCACTTGGAAGTGGAAAGTTGGAGCCAGGAATACAGGGTCATATTCATCTTCTCCGGTAACCAGCACTGACACAGTGACAGAGGCTGAGAGATTCCCAGCATCAGCAGCACCCACTAGCAGACGGAAGCTTCCTGTGTGCTCATAGTCAAAAGGCACTCGTGCCCGAAGTTCCCCTGTTGAGCTGTTCAGTGAAAATGCCTCACGACCCTCAGGTCCTGGCATTGCCTCCAACAGGCTGTACTGAAGTCTACCAAAAGTCCCAGCATCCCCATCAATTGCATGTAGTGTGGTCACAAGAGTGCCTGGAGGCTGGTTCTCAGCAAGGCTAGTGCTGAGCAGGTTCAATGGGAAGGCTGGACCATGGTCATTCACATCTAGGACCTCAACTGTTACTGGAACCAAAGCAAAGTGTGTTCCAGCAGGATCAGCTGCCTGCACCACAAGCTGGTGTCGAGCCTGGGTTTCGCAGTCCAAAGGGTGGGCCAGACGCAAAGCACCAGAGTTCTCATCCAGCTCAAAGAGCCCCAAAGGGTCACCAGAGCTGAGGGTGAAACGCACAAGGCCATGAGGTCCAGGGTCAGCATCAGAGGCCTCCACATGTAACAGCTCAGCTCCAACAGGCATGTCCTCAGGTACTGTCACACGGTAGGATGCTTGGGTAAATACAGGTGGGTTGTCATTGACATCCAGTACAGTGACTGTCACTGGCACGGCTGAACTTCGGGGTGGCTGTCCCCGATCAGCTGCAGCCACAGTTAGATTGTACTGTGTCAGGCTTTCAAAGTCTAGAGGCTCAAGCAACACTAGGCAACCCAATGCCTGAGGACCTGATCCAACACCCTCCCCAGCCTCAGTCAGTCGGGGCTCCAGCTGGAAGACTCGGCCCCGATTGCCACTGATGATGCTGTAGTCCACAGTGGCATGGGTGCGGCTTCCATCAGCATCTGTGGCCTCCAGGGTGAGCAGGGTGGAACCAGGGGGCAAATCTTCAGACACAGCAACACGGTAGTGTGGTAGTGTGAAGCTTGGGGCATAGTCATTCTGGTCCTGCAGCTGAACATGCACCGTGGCCCGGGCCACTCGGCCTGGAGCCCCATGGTCTCGTGCTTCCAGCACCACATCCACCACTCCTGGCCCCTCCTGGCCCAAGGCCACTGCTCCTACTGTTGTGAACAGAGTTCCTGAGATGAGAAGGGCAGGAAAAGAAGCAAGCATTCAGTGATGTCAATGAGTCAACAAGAACAACTCTCCAGAGTCTAGGCAATGGCTTTGAGATTCAGACTCCTAGGAGCAGCCCACATGCTGGGGCAGTATGCAGTGTCCTTGAGTATTCAGAGCTCAGAAAACAGCTTCTAGACATACAGCCAGTCAGAAGGGACCTTTATTAAAGATAGGGGGCAGTGGGTGTCCTCCCTGGGTCAGAGATCCAGGAGTCGAGACATGATGAACTAGCAAATGTTAGGACTGATTGCCAAATCTAACCCAATAGTGATACAGGGAAGACATACCATTGTTGGGGTCAACACTGAAGCCCTCACCAGGAGAAGCCAGATGGTAGGAAATGTGACCATTGGCGCCAGAGTCTCTGTCAGTGGCAGAGACGGAGAGAATGGCACTGCCTGGTGGGGTGTGCTCCAACATCATCACCTGATGAGTAAAAGAAAGTATTGGAGGCCAAGCTTCCCAGCTGCGCTACTGTTTCCCCTTAGCTTATGAGCCGGAAGTTGGCTCCATGAACTACACTTGGTGTCCAACATAGAACCATACTCCCTCGTATTGGAATAGGAGCTGCACACCTTCTCTCTTCTCACCACAGAGTGCAGAACTTGGATGCAGTTCACAGGACTCAGAAAGTTGGCCTAAAATAGAACACTCCCCACCCATTCCCACATCAACCTCAACATCCACTCTAGCTACTTCTACCTCTGTTATATTGCTCCAACACAAACAGTCCCAGGCCCAGGTATGGGGACATCCAGAAAGAGTTAGTACCTGGTAGAGGCTCTGTGAGAAGGTAGGTGCATTGTCATTGACATCCTCCACAAGTACTGTGAGGTTGGCATGGCCCTCGTGAGGTCCATCATGTGCCAGCAGCTGTAGGTGGTAGTGGTCACATTGCTCAAAGTCTAGGGGCCCCGTGAGGGAGACACGTCCTCCATAGCGACCAATACTGAAGGGATCCTGAGGCCCAGATGGGCTCAGCACATACCATAGCACTGGTCCAGAATCCACATCATTCCCAGTTACCTGTGCGATCTCTGAACCCAACAGTGCATCTGCCAAACACGAAGGAAAGGTGATTGCAGCCTTCTCCTCAAGACAGGTGCCCTTTACACCTCTTGCTTTACTCAGCCCTCACCTTCTGACACTCGGAGCTCCCAGGGCTGGGGGATGGTGGGGCGATTATCATTGGTATCGATGACCATCACTGTCAGGGTAGCTGAACCCACCAGGGCTGGGCTTCCTCTGTCTGTGGCCATCAGTACCAGCCTAGATACAGAGCATAGTCAGGGAGCAGGGCCTAGAGATAGGAATGAACCCTGGGAAGGGCAAGGAGGATTCAGGATAAAGCTTGGCTTTTGGAGGAATTTGAGATGTGGCTTAGGGAGTGACAGAAATGCAAGAAAGGGCTTGAATCCATACACACTCAAGATGGGGTCTTGGACCCACAGGTGCCAGCTCTCACCGTGTTTCAGCCCAGATTTCCCGGTCCAGGATAGCTGTGGTAGTGATAGTGCCTGTAGCTGGGTCTACATGAAATAAACCCCGTGCTGGCTGGGATGCAGCCAGACTGTAGGAGATCTGTCCTCCAGAGCCTTGATCCAGGTCATCCGCTTCCACCTAGTAAGTGTAGAAAATTGCTGACACTGGTGTGGTCACAAACAAGTCTGACCAGCCCTGTCCCTTATCTTCCCACCACACCCCACACCTGCAGCAGAGGCCCCTCCAAAGGTCGGGACTCTGGCAGGAAAGCCACATAGTGAGGCCGCAGGAAACGGGGAGCATTGTCATTGGCGTCTTGAAGGGTCAGGGTCAGCACTGAAAAAGCAAAGGCTCCTCCACTCTCTGCTTGGAGCACCAGTCGTAGCCGTGGGCTTGTCTCAAAGTCAAGACCCTCTGCTGAGCGAACTGTGATGGCTCCTGTGGGAGACAGGCTGCATCAGCGATAGCTCCTTTCCTTGCTCTGGAGCCTCCTCTGAGGGCAACCTCCTCCTCCCACCAAACTCCTCTGGCCCAGAGAACCTACTCCTCCAGGAGCCTCTCTCCTTACAAGACTGTTCATATTTCTTACCTGTGCTAGGCTGGATGGAGAATATCCCTTTCTCATTCCCACTGAGAATGCTATAGGTGATTGGTCCATTTGAGCCCCCTGAATGGACAGCCTTTGGGGAGATGACTGGAGTTCCTGTCGGGAAGACAAGAGAGGAAACATGGTATTGGCTGGACTGTGGTCACCACATTGTCAGTGACTAACCCCAGTCATTCCAGGGGTTCAAATCTGGGACTCACCTGGGGGTGCATTTTCACGGAGAACAGCCTCATTACTAGTTCGGGGGAAGCGGGGTCCACGCTCAGACTCTCCCTGTATTCCAACAATGACCACACCAGTGGCAGAGCGAGCTGGTCGGCCAAGGTCAGTAGCCACAATGAAGAGGACACGATCCCGAGGTCCCAGAGCTACAGGAGAGCGAGCCACACGGATTTCACCAGTGTAAGAGTCCACAGTGGTGCCAGGGGGTGGTGTGCCTGCCAGCCGGTATAGAATGGAGGCATTGGCACCGGCATCACGATCTTCAGCTCGGAGTGTGGCCAGAGCCAGGGTTGGTCTACTGAGACTAGGAACTGAGCGGGGTAGGCGGAGGCGCAGAGGACTGGTGGGGAAGGTAGGTGCGTGATCATTGACATCACGCACTGTGATGGTGATTGGTACCGTGGTACTCAGGGGCCCAGCAGCTGCACCATCCACTGCATTCACAGAAAAGGCATAGCTGGCACAGTGTTCTCTGTCCAAGGCAGTAGCTGTGCGTAGCTCTCCAGATGTAGGTTCCAGTAGGAAGGCCCCTGCTGTACCTGCTCCCAGGTAGTACATCACACGGCCATTGTCCCCATCATCTGGGTCATGAGCCTGTAGTTGCAGCAGTAGGGTCCCTGAAGGCGCATCCTCAGGTACCTCCACAGAATAAGCAGGCACAGGAAAGGCTGGGGCATGGTCATTGGCATCCAGCACTGTCACTGTCACAAGCAAGGTGGCACTGAGGGCTGGCTGGCCTCCATCCCTGGCCTCTATCTGTAGCTTGAATGCTGGCTCTACCTCCCGGTCTAGTGGCCTCATGGTGCCAAACTCCCCAGAAGTAAGATCTAGGGTGAAGGCTCCTGAAGGGTCGCCATCTGCAGAGAATATGCACACACAAACATGTATATATTAGCCCATGAGTAGGGATAACTTCTAGCTAACAACAGGAATACAAGTAGTAGAAGGGAGCTGGGAGGACAGTAAAGAAACACAAAGGCAAAGAGAAAAGAGAAACACCAAGGGCAAAGAAGACTACTATGAAGCACATAGAGTGTGGTGTTGGGACTCCAGAGTCCCTTGAGACCCTTTCAATATAGTGAAAGAATTTTCCTTCAACATTACATGTCTTTTCATTCTCGTCTCACAAATGTAAAATTGGATTTGTGGATGCTATATGGCATTATCATTTGGTTAACAGAGTATGTGTTTGTGTTCTGTATTTTCCAGAATATGCTAGGTAAAGAGCCCAATTCTCACCAGTGGTAGCGTGTAGCCGGAAGTGGCCGTCCCCTCCAGCCGCAAGGCGATAGGACACCCGGGCAGCCTCCCCCAAGGTGTATTTTCAGAGACTCAATTTATCCTGGCAACCTTTAGTTACATTTAAATAACTGCAAACTCAATACTGTTCACCAATTTGTTAGGAATCCTAACATTTTCTTATGCCTGTGCAGAAATAGCAAGCAATATCCTTAATTGTTTGTTCCCTCTATGATATCTAATTTTTTGTAAGTTTTAATATGAAACACAGCAAATACTGTTTTTTAACGTGCTACCTACAAACCCTTGGGGTTCTCAAAACTTAAAAGTATAGCAGGCTTAGTAGTGTAATCCCAGCTACTCTGGAGCCTGAAATTGGACAGCCATGAATTTAAGACCAGCCTGGACAGTGTAGTTGAGACCCTATCACATAAAACAAAGTTTTAAGAGTCCCTGATACTGAAAGGTTTGAGAACAGCTAACTCTGTGTGGAGAGACAAGCAAGAAAAGAAATAGGATAAAGAAAATAGATGTAGAGAAAGATAAAGAACCGGAGATACTAGAAGAGGTAACTTAAGTACACTGATCGTCAGAAAAGAAATAGAAGACACAAGGAGGGAAAAGATACACAGAAATATTGGCATAAACTGGCAAGGGTCAAGAAGCAGCAAGAACCGAGCAAGTAGTTGCTGGTCTTGTGGCTCTGGACGCCTCTCACCCAGGATGCGGTACTGTAGCTGTCCATTGAGCCCCTTGTCTGGATCAGAGGCCCGTAGGATGGTAAGGGTTTGGGGGTCCTGGCCTTCAGGCACTTCCAGGGATAGGTGGGTATTCCCAAAGGTTGGAGTATGGTCATTCTCATCTTCCACAGTCACTCGAACTATAGCATGAGTTAACAGGGGTGGCGAGCCTCTGTCCCGGGCATATACTGTGGAGAAAGAAAACAAGATCTACCCTACCCCATGCCATGGATAAATCCATAGGTATGTTCACCAGGTACACATATAAAACAGAAAATGTCTATCTCACCACATACCCTGGAGCACACACATGGGCACACATAACATATATGTCAGAAAACTATTTTTTATGTCCCATGCTGACTATATGCAACTAGCTTCAGTTAGTGATGATGTGACAGAAACAACAATAAATTAGGTATCAAAGCCTGAACTGAATTCTCAGCCCTGCCACTTCCACCCCGTTAGCTTGAGCAGGTCACTTAACCTCTCTGCTGATATCAATATGCTCCTCTGATAAGTGGCTGCAGTATAATCAAAGGAGATATAAAGGGCTTGGTGGTGACAGTATGCACTGGAAAATTAGTGATGGCAGGATAGATGTTAGTTCATCTTACACTCTCCCTTGAAGCTCCCAAAATGTAACAGGAGCTGTGTTGTATACACCATCTCTGGAGGTCCTGTCAGTGTACCTGTCAAGTTGATCTCCTCCTGCTCCTCCCGATCCAGGGCCCTCAGAGTCGTGAGAACTCCAGTGTTTGGGTCCAGAGAGAAGCTCTCACCAGAGACACCCCCATAAGTCACTTGCCCATTGGCCCCTAAGGAGAGGCAGCATGGATGATGATCAGATGGCAAATATCTCTTTTATTGCCTTGCCGCATCCCTCTAACAATTCACTCCCAACTCCATCCCTCTCACAATTCATTCCTACAGGTCTTACCAAGGTCAGGGTCAGTTGCCTTCAGAGTGAGCAGAGAAGTGCCAGGTGGGCTGTTCTCACGAAGAAGGACGCTGTACTCCTGGTGAGGGAAAGCGGGTGCCTCGTCGTTGATGTCAACAACACTGACAGTCAGGAGTTGAGTAGATGAACGTGGCGGGGAGCCATGGTCCAAGGCCACCACTGTCAGTACATGCTCAGCTCGCTGTTCACGGTCCAGAGGCCGCACCACGGACAGCGCTCCTAGGCAGCAGTAAGGTGGTTGGTAGCCAACTTGAGTATTTCTTGTACTTCAGCACCCTCCACGCCTCCCATCCAGAGCCCAATTCTCACCAGTGGTAGCGTGTAGCCGGAAGTGGCCGTGCCCCCCCCAGCCGCAAGGCGATAGGACACCCGGGCAGCCTCCCCCAAGTCTGGATCCCGAGCTACCACGTGCAACGCCGCGGGCCCGGGCGGCTGATCCTCTGGAAGGCGCACCCGTGAGGGGGAGGCAAAGACCGGGGCGTTGTCGTTTTCATCCGTGAC